GGCCGGGGAACCCTCGGCGATCCATTGCCTTCCTCGGGTTCCCTTATTTCAACGCCGATGGTCATCGGCCTCCGCTGAAAGTCATGCGGCCCGATGATGGCCATCCTTCGGCGCCTTTTCTGAAGGGGCTGCTCGTCCATGTCTGAGTCTGAAGACTCTTCTTGTATTTGGTCTTCGGGACGAACAGGGGCTTTCCCTTCTCTGTGTCTGTTACTCTCTTCAGACTGTAACAGACAGGGGGGAGGAGGAATGTGAGTACAAAAAAAAAAAAAATGAAGAGAAGAAGACAAAGTTAAGTCTGAAAGCTCACCGAGGTCTTCAGCAAAGCCTCGTCTTCTTCAGCTGCCCTAGCTGCAGCTTCCTCTTCAGCAGCTCTGGAGGACCCTTCTCCCCCTTCGCAAGCTTCGAGAACCCGTGCAACCTCTTCGGCTGTACGGGCAGCTTCAGCTTCTTCGTCCAGCAGCTGAAACCAGGGGTCTCTCTTCTTCCACCAAGGCTTCTGCCTCTGATACAGAGCAACAACCTCAATTTGGAAGTGGGAAGAGTCTAGATGAAATTCCCTATGCCTCGGCTCAGTGATAGACGGGGCCCGATCAGTTACAACTCGTTCTCGGTTGACGCCAAGACGAGCGTAGTTAATGCCAACGTTGGTCTCGTCCCGCTCTGAAAAAGAAAAGGGGAAAGGTCAGTTCAGTTAGGCTGGCACAGCATAAAAAAGCGAAGTGAAGAGAAAAAGAGATAATTAAAAAGCCTCGGCCCCAGCCGAAGAAGCTTACCATCCTTAAACTTTCGGCTGAGGCCAACAGCTGCTAGCATGTTCTCTTGGAAAACATAATGCGTATCGGGGAGCCAAGTCTCCGGGATATGCTGCATTCGGCCGCTGCCCCCCCCGGTTCGGCAGCTTGCCGAAGATATTTTGTTGATCAAGGTTCGGATCCGGCCCGTTATCTGCGGGGGGACCTAGACTTCCCATGTCGGGATCAGGCTCAGCAAGGTACCGGGGAGCGCTGAAGACGCAAGGGTGGCCCGGATCTGTGGGTGCCCTAACCCAAATCCATTGACCTCTCCAGTCCTTGTCTGAAGAGTCGTTCAGCCACATGGTCAGGTACTGGGGCCGAGACTCAATTCGGTACCACCCAGAGCCATGGCTTCCGTGCCCACTTTGAATATTTGGCACTAGCCGATGAAGCTTTTTGAAGCAGTGCAGGTTCGGCACATACTTGAAGAACTTGCAGACCCATAGGTATGTCATCACCCTTCGGATGCTGGTAGGAGTCAGCTGACATAGGGAGATGTTGTAATGGATCAGCAAGTCTCGGACAAATACGTCCAAAGGGAACCTCAGCCCGTACTGAAGCTGTCTTGTGTACACCCCCACATACCCCGGGGGTGGACGATGGATTCTATCGGATGCCGCGGGCATTCGGCACCAATACCCATCAGCTTCAAAAATGCCGTAATGCAACTCAATTTGCTCGGCAAACCGATATTGTTCGGCATTCTCCACCCACCATGAGTAGGGGCGGTTCTTTATCATGGCCGAAGCTACTTCGGCATTCTCCCACTCTGAAAACCCGGGGAGGATATCCCAAAGGACAGCGGGAACTTCATCGTCCCGTCCAGAAGCGCTCGGCCCCTCCGTTCTCTGAGGAGGAGCCGAGGAAATTGGAGTCGCCCTAATCCCTTCAGCAGGGTCAGACTCTGGCCTTTGTCCATTCCAGGTCCCAATCCTGTTCCTAGGATCGAGAATCGGCCTTGCTCTTCTTGGAGCACGGGCTCTACCTCTAACTCCTCTTGCCATTGATTATTTCGAAGAAAAAAGTCGAAAAAAAAGGGAAGGAGTTCGAATTCGAAGAAAAATAAACTGAAATCAAAGGAATTTACCTTAATCTGAAGCGAAAGTTGCCGATTTACGAGTTCGTAGTGGCAAGTCTCAGTTTCTAAGCTTAATGCTCGGGGAATTTGCGAAGTTTTGATGCGGGTTCTTGGTTTCTCTCGAGAATTCTGGGTTTGTGTTGGTGAATAAGTGAGGAGAGATGACGCGCCTCTGTTTATATCTCCAGGAATGGGAATACGGGGAGTCCGCGTTTCAATTTCTCTTAAATACCCCACTAAGTAACCGTTAAACACACGACCTTCGATTAAACTGCCCATTATCCGTCCAACTTCCACAATCATCCGCCTTAACCGTTGTTATCTCATTAATTACGGTTTAAATTCAAATTTTTGGATTAATTAAATCATTTACTTCCCTCCTTTTCTGAATTAAATCAAACCCGACCCGTCATCCTTCCAAATCGGGTCTGGGGGGCAAGTTGTTTGGGTCCAATTCAGTCCAATTGGGCCTAGGCATTAAATGATCCAATTAAAAGCCCAAGGTCAAGGTTCAACTCTCCAATTGTGTAAAAGTCAAAGGTCAGCCCTCAAAGCAAGCCAATTGGGCTAAGGCCCAACTTCTCCATGTATGAAGAGGTATAAAAGCCATCAAAATTCATAGATTCATATATACATTCATAGATTCATATCTTCTCATATACTCAAATAAAGCCTCAAGCAACAAATTCTCTTGCATAGTGTTCTCTTTCTACACATTGTACTGACTTTAGCATCGGAGGGGCCTTCCTCGGCAACACCCCCGAGGCTAGTTTACGTGTGTTTACTGTGCAGGAAACCTTCGGCCCAACATAACTTGGACCGAATCCAGTCTTCTCCGTTTCAGCGGACCTTCGGCAAGGTCCCATTGTTTTCACCCGAAACAGTATTAAAACCAAACAACTAAGATTTCCTTTGAATCTCTCTCATAGAAACTTGTTGCTACCCAACAAATTCGTCACTCTTGACTTTAAATAATGTATGAAGAATCCATGGAACTAATTTTGAATCCAAAAAATGAAATAATATTAAATATAATTATTATGATGTCACAAATGATGAAATGCACTTATTTATTGTGGGGAAGAATGGGAAGAGGACTTAAGACTGAATTTGAAGACAATAGACCTTGAAATTTTAGAAAACTTAAGTTATTATCATGAAATGTTTGATTTTTTAAGTCAAGGTATTCGGCTAGCTACTCCGTGTATGAACCATACACGAGTATAGAAAATGTTAATTAGTTCATCATTGAATTCAATTTTATGAAGTATTAAAGTCTTTTCGACATTTTATATACCAGTAGTGTCGAGGAGCTTTCAATATTTATAACAATACATAAAAAGTTTTATCACGACTCGTTTGATAAGTGGCTGCAAATGGTGATAATGAGAATGAATTAGTACATACATAAGATAAGTTTGTTTCCTTAAAAAAAGTACATAAGTTTGTATGATCGATAACTGATACAACTATTAGTTGATGTTCATTTCAATGATGTTGGAAATGAAATTGTACATAAATTTGTATATATGCAATTAATTGTATTGTACACGTGTTAACTCCATTAAGTACAACTTATACGGATCGGAGTACAATAAGCTGAATTGTACGGAGTACAAATACTTCGTAAATTTCCTTTCATTGATTAATATCCGTAACTTCATGCCAATCTTTTAAATTATGTCAAAGGTGTACGCGGATTGGATGGAGTGTTGTTTGTTACTCCAAACCGATCAATTTCAAGGGTTACCGACTCCTAGAAAAGAAAACCGTGAAATTTTTGAGAAAGCTACAATCACCAACTTTAAAAGCTTACATACCATATTCAACGATGTCTTTATATTTACAAGGATAGATGGATAAGAAATGCAAAGATCTTAGAAACCCTAGTACAATACGAGCAGTGTCGACCAAATGAGCTCCGTGAATGTTACTCTCATTTATTTCTTCCCCACCAACACAATAACTTAATCATTTGACTATTGTGATCTTTGAGAACGAACTAACTAGCTTTAATTTGACTAGCAACTAGATTTTTTTTTGACAAGCAACTACATTTATATCCTATAATTTTTTTGTTTTTATTCTTTTTTATATTGATACTTTGATGGAATAACTGTCCAATTTTAATAGTTATCTCAATATATATTCTTACATAACACTAATATATACTCTCTAAGTTATCCTTTTGGTTCATCTGATCTATTTAAATATGATTTTTTTTTTTTTTAATTTTTTTTTTTTTTTTTGTGGGATAAATATAGTCAAAGGGGAAAGAATGAAAAGAATTGAAGGGATCGTAGAGTAAGAATAGTGCCAATCCCTATGTTGTGCGGAGCTGAGCATCTTCTATTCGCTAGGATAAAGCTTTTCCTCTACAGGGGCCTTGTGCAGAGCAATGCAAGCAAAATGAAGGATGAAATTAAAAACATGAGAAAATTCATTTGTTAAAGCAAGGGTATGTAGTAGACTAGTAGTAGTAGGGATTTGGGGAAAAATTGAGATATTTTTATTAGCTCAAAAATCAATTATGAACCGTGGAAAAAAATATGCATATTTAATTGTTAAATACGGGTTTGGGCCGCACCCACAAACCAAGAAAAAAAGTCCATTTCACAAGTCTAAAGGAGGTTCCATCCCAAAATCATATGGCAATAGGAGGAATAGTCCCTTAATCTTATAAAGTGATTAACTCTCTCTTCTTCAACCAATGTGGGACACTTACATGTGGTGGTATTTGGGAGGTCTATTCTTCAACACTCCCCCTCAAATGTAAGGTCCCTTTTGAACTTTGTCTCATGTGATTTTTCGTGCTAGAGTGCTTCTTCACTCCCCCTCACATGGACCTACTCATGGCCAAGTGAACTTTAGTCATTTAGGGTCCCATATCGTGGGTCTGGCTCTGATACCATGTTAAATACGGGTTTGGGCCGCACCCACAAACCTAGAGAAAGAGTCATTTCACAAGTCTAAAGGAGGTTCCATCCCAAAACCATATGACAATAGGAGGAATAGTCCCTTAGTCTTATAAAGTGATTAACTCTCTCTTCTTCAACCAATGTGGGACATTTACATGTGGTGGTATTTGGAAGGTCTATTTTTCAACATTAATACTTTTGCACATGTTTTTCTTTTTATCCTTCTCATTTTATTAACCTGCTTATGGAATCACATACCGACACCGTTTTAAAAGAAACAATCTTGAAATGCAATAAAGTAATAATGAGATACCGTATACAGTACTACACATACCGTCTAAAATTTATACACAAAAGTTCTATTATTCTAATTATAGTAATATACTACGTACGTAGCTTATAATTTATAGCCATCGTTCACAATAGTTATTTTCTGATACTTTTCCAGAAATGGCAGCTGCTAATGCTGAAGTAAAGGAAGGATCTTTAGTCAATGAAGATGCCATTTGCTCTACCAGTAATCTCTGCAACGCCTTCGTGTCGACTTTTGATTCGATGGCGTTCGTTTTCTCCGTGTTGTTGGAATAATTATGGTTGATCAAATCAAGGTTTAGAGTAGGGATGTTACTAGGAGATCGTATTACGGCGTTATCATTTACAGATTGACTTGAGCTTAACAAAACATGTTGATCTAACTGATCCCTTGAATTTGGTTGAGGATGATTGTGTTCACCTTCATATGTTGCTACTAAGATAGTTGGATCATCTGCACTTCTTTGCACCTGTTTTTAATTACATGCAAACAAGTTTTAATTAAAAACATTATCATTATTTATAATATAATATAAAATAATTCATGTTGTATTGTTGTAACTTGTAATTACTACTATTGAGATTGAAGTATAATACGTAGACGTACATACACTATATTTGAGTGTGTGGCATGGTGCTATATAGTAGTGAACTAGTGGTCCTATTGAAGTGATAAATACTTTCATCTTTGAATTCAAACTAAGCTAGAGGGTTAGATACGTCGCTAGCTAGAAGGCCTAGGACGCAGGCGCATTTATGTAGCACTAAGGAATAAGGATAGACACTTGTTTACCCTCTTTAACTTTAATACATATGAAGATAAGGTTAAGGGTTTGGCTTGAGTCAGACTTAGAGAAGACTTCCCTAATCAAGAGTATTTTTTTGGTAATAGAGTTTGGCTTAGCTTGATTAATAATTTTATAAATCATGCAAGCACGGAGAAACAGCCCCTCTTAATTCTTTTTGAGATAAATCTTATGAATTGTTTGGACAATTATACCCTCTAAAATGTTTATCCTCATTAATGTTATTTTATTTTATTTTTAATTAAAGTTTGAGAATAGTGTGGGAACATTTATACCTTCAAAAATATTTGTTTACATTTTTTAACACATTAATAATGTCAACATCTAAATGTGTGATATAAGGTCAAACTGAAAGAGCTTCCTGGATATGGAAAGTTATGGTGTGCACATCGTGCACGTTAGCCACCCTAGTTACTAATTAATTCTAATCGTGCATTAATAATTACAATATAATAAGTTAGCTATTTGGAAAAAAATATACTCCACATTTATTAAGATTCCATGTTAAAATGTTGGATTGTTTTTTTTTTTTTTTTACACAAAAAATGTTGTTTCTTATACAACTGCAAATTTACAATAGAAATTTAGTTAGACCATGACATCATATATCAAACCAAACCAAATCTTAAAAAAAAAAAAATCAGACCAAAACACCTAATGGTTGGTAAAAAGAACAAATTCTAAGAATGTAGACATTATTATGGATTTTAACACAAATTTTCCAAAAAAAGCAGCGGAATAAGCTTCTGATCATCTAATAAAAAAGGAATGGCTTAATCAAACTATCAAGGCCTATTTGCCTATGTCCTTTGGGAGATGGCTGTCAGTTGTCATAGTCAACAAAATCTGAAAGGCATTGTTGACTTTGAGAAGCTAGCTAAGACAGTCAAGAATTTGTGCTCTATAGCCTTGATCAGTAGAGTTAAAAAGTTCATAAGAGACCTCTATGGCTGTATACATGAGTTTTTAGTTTCGAGTTTTTGTACGTGTTTTGGGTTCTATCTTCGAGTTTTTTACCTTCTTTTAAAGTCAATCATTCAGATTAAAAACGTGCATTAGAGAATTTTATGGTAAGACTGATTCTAAACTCTAGAGAAACCTAAATTAGATTTTCCATTACGTGACAAGAAATACTCTTATACAATGTAATATAAAGAATTGATTTAGAAGTTATTTGTTATTTTGAAGAGATGACCTTCAATGTTATACACTAGTTTAATCTTCATTTTTTCACTTGTGAAATTTACTCCTTTACCGCCATAAAATCTGTAAATCTTTCAAAAATGGTGACAACATACCTTCTTTTTTACTGGACATTCAGGAGCATTAGCACATTTATAGTAAGCTCGAGGAGACGGATTATCTCTTGTTACTTTCTGCCCGTATTTCCTCCATTGATATCCATCCTTCACTATCTAATTAGCAACACAAATCAACAGAAAATTAGTAATTAAAATCTCATAATCATAATCATCAATAGCAGTGTAAACTACATATTCCCTCCACTTAGGTTGTTACTTGTTGGAATTTGTCATTAAATAACAGTAGCAAAAACATTACTCTGTATAACGTAGAATTTTATTAGATTTATCTCGATGTTTAGCTACTCGTACGAGTGTCTTTGTAATAAAAACTGAAAAGGATTTTATTGAAACAGAGGTGCATATTGTATATGTCTTGTGATCAAGCTAAGAAATTATGAATTAATAGTGATGAAACTAATGGACATACCAAGCTTGTATCCGATATATCGGTCCGAATCAACATTTTATTAGTGATCTTAGGCTTGCTGCTAAGAAGCCTTACTCTTTTTAATGAATCATCATAGCTAATACAACTTTGCTCAGTGTTCCCCTGTATTCCACAATCCATTGTTTCAAAGAACTTCCTCTTCTTTGGATTCTGATCTTGCTCATTTTCGCCTTTCGAACTCGGACTAATCAAGCCTATCAGCTGGTTTTGCAACACACTGTAATTCTTACACATGGATGCCAACAGTTTTGTGAGCTTTTTGTTCTCATTGTTCATCCTGTTCAGCTCCTCTTCTAAATTCCCACTTTTCCTCTGTTTTAAATTGATAAATTACACATAATAACATTAGATAGTAGCACAAATAAAAACAAATATTAGGACTAGTCTGTTATCATTGTAACAGCTATAAGTTCAGAAAAAATAAGTTTAAAACTGAAGCTAACGGTCTCAAACTAACAAAAACACGATAGTTAGACACTATAAACGACCAACCTCATCCTTGTGTATCTTGTCATCGATTTCCGAGGTGTTACAAAGATTAAGGTTAAGATTAAAACCAAAGGAAGTGTCAAGAACCCAATTAGATGATGACTCCATACAGGTGAAGTAATCCAGCTTAAAGGATTTTTGAAAGAGGTGGTTAAATTAAAATATATAATAATGTTGAGTTATTATAAAAGTATTGGATAATTATAATGTGAATGCTTTAAGCCACTTTGTAAGTGTTTATATAGTAGAAGAGTTATAGAGAAAACATAAAAAATTTTGACTAGTAAACTGTAAACCCCCAGGAAATAGTGCATAAATGTCTTCAAGTATTAAAGAAAAAGAGAAAATGGGTAATTAATAGTACTGCAATTCTAAGGTGGAGGCGTGGAGCAGCAACGACTTTAGAAGACATAAAAATGTGTCCAATGCGTGTCCAACATTTGTTTGAAAGTCAAGCATGAAAATACTAGGTCAATCAACGTTTTTCTTCCCACATTTTTTTTTTTAAGAAAAGTGCTAAACGTTTTAGCATTAATTACACCCTAAACAAAATTACAACATTCAGAAGTACTCCGTAATATACTTGTACTACGTTAATTATAGAAGAAGCCCCATTTTATCAAATTTGTTTATCAAGTGGCAAAATTGTTAATAAATCAACAAGTTTGTAGATTTATTTACATTTTTGCCACTTTGTCTAATCAGCATGGCATTTTGGTAAATAAATCAAAAATTGTGGGATCCTTATATGACAAAAAGCTATTGATTTATTTACATTTTTTCCATTTGATAAACAAAATTTCTTTATCAAGGAAATAAACTTGTATTTTCTCGTAATTATATCTAGTCTCGCTATTAACAACTGCGAAAGATTTACCCGACAATCACTTCTTTGTAAAGTTGACTTAATTATAGATAATCTGGAGTGACTAATCTAGTTGATTGTATAAATACATACTTCCTCTGTTTCTTTATAGTTGCAACACTTTTCTAAAATGGAAATGTCACAATAGTTTCGGCAACACACTATAAAAGGAATGTTTTTATGGTGAAAATTGTATTATTACCTTTATTCAAAACTCATGGCTCACTTGATTATACTCCTAACAGCCTCTTAACCTCATTTTATGTGTATTATATCATGTGAAATCCTCCACTTTTCTTAAATACCGTGATAAAGTGTGTGTTGCAACTATAAAAAAACGGAGGAAGTATATAATACATTTGTTGTATTTTCTCAATTATTATATATATATATATATATAACTTTTAATTTCACACTTGTCATATCAGTGTATAATTTAAATCATTAATATAATGAATACGCAAAATTTATAGATAAAATGTTGGCTTTTTAAAATACAAGCCATTAAAAATACTCACCGTGTTTCTTCGTGTGACTTACTACATCGTGTGGCCGCTTGTAAGGAAACGGAGTAACCCATATTATACTTGTTTCGGGGTTTTCTGATGTCCTGCGGGAGAGTTACAATTTCGAGACTGGAACCGGACGCCTGTACCTGCAAAATAACGGAGACTCCTGGTGGTGGGAGCTCCGCCTCCAACGGTCAAGTTAGTACTTGATTAAGGAGTAATTAATGCGGAAATTAAAGTGATTGGGTCTCTCTAGGTGAGAGTGTTTAATGTAGGTAATCTGCTTTGTTAGCGAGATCAGCCGGTTATTACTGTGTGTAATTAATGTGTTTTTTCGTAATCCCCCTTAATGAGGATTAAGGGAGGTATTTATAACCTTGGGAAACGTGCCCATCCTAGGTTTAGGTTAACCTAGGGCTGATTGGGCTTCCCTCGGAAGTTGGGCCTGGGTGGCCGGTTTCTCCATTAGGCATGGAGTATGCCACATGTCATGACATAATAGGTCCAAGGTGGACGAATAAGCGCGTGCCACGTGGCAAGCCCTGACAGTTCCAACTGGGGGACACTTGGCAGGACCTGATTGGCCCACGTGGCGCATTCCGATTGGTGGGAGCAAAATCCCCTAATCATTTGCCCCTCACAGGTGGCACGTGACTGGTCACGTGTTACCTGTGACAGGTGTCGCACTGTAACAGGCGACGACCTTCTACAGGTGTCAGTCGGCGAAAGGCCGAGAGATTTTCCCGCCCAAATTTTGAATTCTGAAAGTGACCCTTCGCCTTCTCACTTCGCCTATATAAGGGAGGATTGTCTTGAGTCATTTTCACACTTGAGAACTTTGAGAGAGAACATTCGGACCCCTGAACTTGCTCTGACATTTTGGACCTTTTCTGCCTACCGCCTGTTCTGACAAGCCGACTGCACAGGATTTTCAGCACTTCATCAATCGTCACTCGTTCAGGTAACTGTCGGTTCTCTTACTCTTAATTTTCTTTTTATTTTTTGAAATGGCACCACGGAAGCACACGACACGACCTAGGTTAGTGATCAGCCGGTCACCGGGGACGGCTGAATCTAGGACTAGGAGTGCCGCCTGCCCTTTTCCGGACCCATCTTTGCCCTTTATACAAAGTCCGACTGTATCTGTGTCTATGCAGAGCAGGATGGCCAGAACGAAAAAGACTGCTAGGATCTCAAATTCAGACGGCTCCTCCCACAGGGTGCCGCTTAGTGAAACATCTGACCAGGCGCCAGATGTGGAAGTGAAACAAGGCGGCCTGAAAGCCGACAATTCTGAGGGAGGAGTCATAGTGACCCCTTCCCATTTAACAGTTAACAATTCTGCTCCTTTTCAAAGAGAGGAGGCGGGCCCCTCCGGGAGAGGGGAGGAGTCGTCCTCTTCGGACTCGTCAGAGGACGATTCCGAGTCAAGCTCTTCTGGCCATGCTTCTTTGGACACAGAAGAGAAAAACAGCCGCCTGCAAGAGGCGAGACTTTCTCACGCAGTTGAGAAGGGGGACAATTGGGCGGAGCCATCCGCCTCTTACCGAGAGCAAAATACCCCCTACTACTGCACGGTACCTCGGGGCCGGATCACAGCCATGCAAGAGAAAGTGGAGAGCTTTATTGCAAACCACACCATGGGCCCCGACTTTCTAGTGTTTGTGCCGGATCCAGAAGACACAGTCGTCTGGCCGGCTGGTACCAGTTATGATAGCGCCTGCTTTGGCTGCTACGAGGTGGCCATCAAGGCAGGGTTGCGCTTCCCATTACATCCGACTGTTCAGCGGATCTTGGATGGGTATGAGTTGGGGTTATGGCAGTTAGCCCCAACCTCCTGGGTCAACGTACTCGGCTATGTGGCCGGGTGCGAACTGCACGGGGTGGAGCCGAGCTTCGAGGCTTTCGCCCATATGAACTATCTCAGCCAGACCCCTAAGACAGGCGGTACCGGCTGGTATCAATTGACAAGCCACAGGGGCTACCTCATGACGAGAGGTAAAGCAAACAAGTGGAAGGACTGGCGGAGCACCTTCCTCATCATTGAGAGTTCAGACACTGAGCTGAACAAGCGCTTCAATAGGTGGAACAGGAATCCGCCCCTTCTTGCAGGCGGCCGTAGCATGCCGCCTGTTCCCCCCAAGGCTAAGAAAGAGATCCTTGATAAAGGACTCTTTAAAGTAGAGTCGAGGGTCGACTCTACTTCAGGGGTACGAGAGCAAGTACCCCTGCACTGCGTCCCGAGCTTCAAATGGATCTACGACGAGTACTTTTTTACCGCCTGTGGCCTCAGCAGTCGGTGCTCAAGAGGTAGTCGGCCTGTCGAATACTCTGTTGTTCCATACATTTCTTGTTATGACTTTTATTAACTTTGCTGTTTGTTTTTGCAGCTGACGCCATGAGCAAAATCACCGCTTCCAAGACTGCGACGGCCATGTTGCGGGCCTCCATCATGCAACAAGCTTCAACCGACTCCCCAAGAAGGGGGCACCCTTGGTGAGCTCCAAACCTTTCACCCTCTTTTTGGAGTTGTGTTTATGCATATACTGACTTTTTTTTTTCTTTTTTAGACGGGTGCTCCAAGAGCTTCATCTTCCCAACAGCCGGACCCCAAGGCCCGGAGGACGACTGTTGCGAGCTCTCCTGGTTCTGCCAGGAAACATGTGGCGGCTGAGAAACAGCCGGCCACTTCTTCTAAAACTCCAACTGGGCCGCCTAGAAGTATGAAGTTGTCCTTGTAAATTTTAGACTCACTCCCTTTTTTACTAGGTCTAATCCGTTTGTTTATGCTTGATGCAGTCGGCCCTCAGGAGCCTGACTTGGTAGAGATGGCCAAGTCTATGATCAGGGAAGTTCCTCCAGCTGAAAGGGAGGCGGTCAGGGGTGTCGGCACCCTTGACCTAGACGGGATTGCAGGGGTCCTTGCTGAGGTATACTTAGCATATTTTTGAGTATTTGAATTTCTGGACGCCTGTTTTATTTTTTGTTTGGAAACTGACGCCTGTTTCTTTTTACTTAGGCCCTGCTCCGAGTGAACGGCCTTCGCAAGCCGCTTGACCGGAAGAACAAAGAGGTAAAGGCAGCAAAAGCTATGGCCGCCTCCAACTGTGATAAGGCAATGTTTCAAATTGCCCAAAATGAAGTTTTGACCATTGATATTCTTTATTATCAGGCGCAGGCTACCGCCGCTGTTCGGGCTCAGTTAGAGGCGGCCCAGAAGAGGAATGGCGAGCTGGAGGCGACCATCACCAATCTCAAGGCCGAGCTGAAACCTCTTCGCCTAAAGATGTACTCATACGAAGCCTTGGAGAAATCCTTGGCCAACGTAAAGGAACGCCTGGTGACCCAAGAGAAGAGTCTTACCCAGGAGCTCTCGGAAAAGGCCGAGCAAGAGAAGAAAGAGCTGGTCCGGGAGATGATGGAAGACTCCGCTCAAATCCAGCGCATGACTTGGGGCCGCCTCTTCCCTAATGCCGACTTTGCCTCATGGGAAAAAAACGTACCGCCAGTGTTCTGATACATATAATCAAGAGATCCTGGCGGCTGCTGAGGAAGAGGCGTTGGAGGAAGCGTTGGAGGAGGAGGAGCCGGTAGTGGCGCTTGTACCGCTTGGGGGTAATGCATCAAAAAAGGATGCAGCTGAAGCCGAGTCCGGCAAGAAGAGTGATGACCAGGCGGCAACTGCTAATATTGAAGATCTGCCCCCTTCTTAAGCTTTATGTATTCTTTCCACGGCCTGCGTGCCGTTTGTTTTGTATTTACCCGGCCAGGGGGCCGGGGCTTTGAATATTTTTCCGGTCTTTAATGACCGGCTTCTTTTTAATGAATTTTTGTTTTGCCTCAAATTTGTCTAAGTATTCCATATTCTAATATCCAATTGTTCACTAGACCGACTGTTTTACATGGCCGATAGTTGCAGACAGGTACGGATAGTTAGTCACGCCG